AGTAAATGCTACTATTTCACTGTGTGCTATTTCTAATAAACATACTAAAATGGAATTACACTCGACCACAGTGCCCATGTTTTACACTTGTAATGATGGAAGATTAAGATGAAAATAAAAATCGGTCAACGGAAGTAGGAGTAGAAAGTAGTAAAAGGAGGAAGGGAGAATGAGATTACGTGCGCCAGTTAAGATGACGATAATGTGTGTATGCATCTACGCCAGTGACATCGGTTAGGAGCCATATCACGCATTTTCCAACCACTGGTTTCCCTTGTCCCGTACACTCCAACCGGCTAGTCTGCATGACGCTACCTGGGCGAAACGAACAGTCAAGGACTTTATGCATTGATGCCATGTTTTGGTTTGGTCGCCTTGAGTCTTTTTCCAGCTTCAACCTACTTCGGCCAACATTGTGACGCGGAGGACGGTGTTTAAGCATATGTAACGCATGTCCCAGCCATGTCAGTCGGTGGAGGTTCACAATAGCATCAACTGACTTACCTCTCCTGCCTAAAACTCTACATCTGACTTCTGTGCTACTCACATGGTGGCACCATGAAACATGGCCTATACTGCGAAGGCAGTAATGACCAAACACCTGAGGCCTGCTCATGTCAAAAGGGGAAATTAGAAAAGATGGACCCTAAAAATAGCATTCTCCCCACTAACACGTGACATGCAAGTACCAGCTACCTGGGTTCACATTTGACTCCAAAACTAACCAACCAAAACTTTGAACTTGGAAATATGCTGTATATGACCAGCCTCATGCAGTTATCTTTTGGACTCTGTGGTCATGTACTAAATCTCCTTTTTCAGGTACCTAAAGAAGAACTAACCTTACACGTTGTGGGCAGCTGGGAAGTGTCAACCGCCCTCATAACTCTGTCAGCACCTAAGTTTCCTCAGATTACTGTTCACCTTCCATATCCTTACCTTCCAATCTTCCTTCACGTCTCTCCTACATCATCTTTAATTTCTTCCTGTTCCTCAATTCTTGACAACGATCTTTGTGTAGATATAATGTTTGGCAACTTCAACCGTTACGCATTATTGCTTAGTCCTATCTTGATATTGATGATGATGTACACCCATTGGCCCAAGTCTTTACACTTAACCAAAAAGAGAAAATTCAGATATCCTATAGCCAAGGCAATATAATAAGTGTTACTGAATGTAACTGAAACCTTGAGAAAAAAAGAGAAAAGGATAAGTAGTTAATAAGTGTAGAAATGCCAATCATTTTCTTTTTTCACAAAAATATGGGGTTGAAGTGATACATTCACAATGTTGTAATTAGTTGTTTTGTTTTTTTAGCTCATTTCAACCACTGTATTCTATTGTTTCACAAAATAAACAAGATGATAAAATCATTTTTTTCGAATGTTTTTCGAATTTTATAGTATTTAAGGAACACAAAGAAACTAATGCACTTATCACTAGGGTTACATTATCAATGTTAGCAATCATGTGCCTAAATATTTTCATTTTATTGCTTTTTTGCTTTCTCTAGATATAATAATACGTTGCCTCTCACTCTCCCTCCCTCTCTCTCTCTTCCATTCTGTTACGCTGTCCTTGTTATAAGTACATGTCATATTGTTTGTTAGGTGTATAACTTTTCCCTTATTATTGTTCTTCTGTACAAGATTTGTTAGAAATACGTTAGTTAGGCTTTTTAATTTTAAAAGATTTTTTATTCATATTAGATAAATGATTAAAGATGAAGTGAAAACTGAATCAGTAAGCTAGAGGTCTCTGTTTCGAATCCTTTGGTAACTCAAGATTTCTTTTCACCTTTAATTACCACCCAGTGTCAACAAAAGTAGTCCACCAAACTACAATTACCTCATATAGTGACTGGTCTAAGTCACTCATCATCCCAGTCTTCAAGAAAGGCGAGAAGTCCTCTTGTGATAACCACAGAGGAATCAGCCTGACGAACATAGTATCCAAAATCCTAGGTTCTATAATTCTCCGACGCCTGAGTGGAGCTCGGGAACACCAAGCCTGAGAAAACCAGGCAGACAGGCTTTAGACCTGGTTGCAGGTGTATCGACTAAATATTCACGCTGCGCCAGGTCCTGGAACATAGGCATGCTCACAGACGCCTGACAGTAGCTGTATTTCTCGACCTGAAGGCGGCATTTGACTCCGTTGATCGAGAAGTCTTATGGCAATGTCTGTCACTGAAAGGCGTGCCTAGTAAGTACATCACGTTATTGAAAGCTCTCTACTCGAACACTTATGAGCATGTTAGAGCCTATGCAAGTCGTCCAGGGAGCTATACTCATCAAGTGGTGTCCGTCAAGTATGACCACTATATCCATTCTTATTTAATTTTATCATAGATATTCTTATGGAGGTTTCCCTCTCGTCACCTAATAACACAGACGTTGACACAATCACAGGTGAGTTTTCTTTAGATCTAGAATATACAGATGACATAGTCCTGTTAGGTGAAGACACTGACAAAATGCAGAGTCTTCTGAACACTTTGAGTGGGAATTTGAGAATGTTTGGGATGCAATTTTCACCACCCAAATGCAAATTTTTGCTCCAGGACTGGTCTTCAGCAGTACCGCGGCTAACAATAGAGAGCGAAGTGGTTGAGTGTGTTGACCACTTCACTTACCTGGGAAGTAGGATCAACCCTGGTGGGTTAGTTGCCGATGAGATCTCTGCACGGATACAAAAGGCTCGATTGGCTTTTGCCAATTTGCGCCACCTATGGCGCCGCCGTGATATTCGTTTGTCTATTAAGGGTCGCCTGTACTGCACAGCAGTCCGCTCTCTTCTACTGTATGACTGTGGCCATTGAAGGTGGAAGACATGAGAAGGCTTCAGGTGTTTGACCACCATTGCCTTCGTAGTATAGGACGTATTCCGTGGTGTCACCATGTGAGTAATGCAGAAGTTAAGTGTAGAGTTTTGGGGAGAAGAGTCAGTTGACGAGGTTATGAACCTTCATTGACTGAGATGGTTGGGACACGTACTACGTATGCCTTGTCACACAATGGTGGCTGAGGTGGGTCCAGGCTGGGAAAAGGCTCGAGGTGGCCAGACTAAAACATGACACCAATGTATGAAGTCTCTGCTGGTTTAAGCCATGTAGGACGGTGCAGACTAGGTGGTTGGGGTCGGTGGGACTAGAGGAACCAGTGGTTGGAGACTCTAGGCGATCACATGGCTGAGAAGCGATGTCAGTGGCGCAGATGTATGCACACATTATCCTCATCTTAACAACGCTATACCGAATCTCACCACTTTCTGATTATTCGTTTCTCTCTTTTCGTACTTTATATTTCTTTTGACGGCATTCACTTATCTTCATCCTTCACCCCACTACCTTCCTACTTGATGAACTGAAGTGAGGTGTGGCAACTCGGATCGTTACGCAGTAATGCCTGGTCCTATGTTGATAATAATGATGATGATGAATACACAAATTCTATTGTTTATAAATTAAATATGATTAAAACCTAGTCAACAGTTATATTTTGAAGCCTAACTGAGAAAGCGCCGATCTAGTAACCTCTTGACTTGTCATTTTGAACGTCTGGGTGATTTTCTTGAATCAACAAGATAATATTGTGAACAGTTTAGCTGATTGCACGAAATTGAGCCCCGTAACTTAGTTATGTCTATTCTTTTTACATTGACATCAAACTTAAGCGTTTTATTTCACTATAGCTTTTGTCATTGATTGAAGTCAGTTAATGAATCATTGAAAGCCTTCGAACATTTGAAAATCATTTCATCTTAGTTTAGAACTTGTCAGCAGTGTTCACTGACAACTAAGTTCATTGGGTATCTAATCCAAAGGCAGTTTACTCCCCACATATTCGCATATCTTTCTTCCACTGTGCAGTATAAAATGAGGATATGGATAACCTTTTTTGGCTAAGTGCCAAGAGGTAGAGAACCCAGTTTCAGAATTTTCTACCGGTTGATTCTGCAATCTATAGTTTTTTGTTCTTTCCCAAGGCTTGTAATGATACTTGTTATTTCCCGTTGCCATACAAAGCTAAATTACTCGACCTCTGTTAGCAGATGGGCTCCTATGCAGATGCCTCGATACTGCTGATTATTCATGATGTTATATTGATCTTAGTGACTACCAGAGGAATCCATGTTTCGTCCTATTTGGAACTCGTCATCTGGATGTATCTAGACCTCAGTGATGCTCGAATCCAGTATCCTTCGCGTCAAACGCCAGAGCTCTGTCCACTAAGCCACTGGGGCATGATAACCACCTCTTATGCAGCGGGTATCAGTTGTTGCTGTTTTAATACTTACAATTTCTAACAGAGATACAGCAATCCGACCCTGTATATCAACGGGAAATTACAAGTATCATGACAACAACTGATACCCGTTACACAAGAGGTGGTTATCGTGCCCAAGTGGATAGCGGTCTGGCGTTTGAAGCGAGGTGTACTGGGTCTGGTCTTCAGTGGGAACAGCACCACTCATTAGGGTAGAGGCACACCGAGCTGGCGAGCCCGAAATGGGACGAAACACACGTCCTGGATTCCTTTGCCAGTCACCAAGAGAAATATAACATCTCCAAAAGTTCTATTCAGTAAACATGACACGTCTTTTATCAATATGAATCGCAGTATTAACACCACTGAACAATTTTAGTGTTACTGTTAATTATAGTTTTCACTCCTTTGAAATTTGAGATTCTCCTCTTCACTTATAGTTGTTGGGATATGTGAGATCTGTGTCTACGGTTTCCTCTAGATTATTTTAACATTTTCACTGTGGGAAAGTTTATCTCAGCGTATTCTTTGTTTTTCCAAATCAACCTAACAACATAGTTGATTATTGCGTAAAGTCTGCTGACCACTAAGAGTAATTATGTTATCGTGTTTAATACGTAGATATTGTGGTTTAATCTGGTTTAATATGTAATTCATTTAAGAGTATTTTTTCTGTTTTGTAAAGAACATGTTCTGAGCCGTTCTCTTTGGTTTCTTTTTCTCCTTTAGGAGGTTACTTGTGTTGATTTTCATCCAGATCCAACTCTACAAATACTTGTCAGTGGAAGTAAAGATTATACAATTAAATTGTTTGATTTCTCTAATCCATCTGTAAAGAAAGCCCAACGAAATATTCCGGTAAGTATATATATAACACATTATCTCGTGTATATCTTTATAAAATATATGAAATTAATTTTCACCATAAAATGAGAGCGACTGAAATCGTATAGAATGCTGGAAAGCCGCTTCTTTCTAATCTAAGCAATTCATGACTATACAGACTACATATATTCAAGATTGGAGTATGTAAACTGGTTTTACTAAGTAATAAATGCAATGTTTCGCATAAACTGCTTTTTATTTCCGTTTGGACATCAGATTATTTGAAAAGTGGTAATTTTTCTTCCCGTCCACCCCTCCCCATCTCTCTCTCTTTCTCCAGTTACAATATTCCTTTTCTAGGCCTTGTGTGAGGCTATGGTTAATTGGGTTGCGGGTTCTGACCCCGCTCTCCCTACCGAAGTTTTGCCAGTAGTATCATTTGCCTTCAAATAATAATTGTCGCTCATTTCTTACTGAAAGAATGTGCACAAGGTTGATGAGTGGATGTTGACTTTTAACTTTGTTCCAAGTTTTCACTTACAAAGATTCAACTTTGTTCAAAAGTTTAAGTAAGATGTGTGGGTTATGCAATGTGTAGCTTTGGTCCATTGACTGAAGTACTCCACTTCTAATCACCGGGTCGTTGGTTCAGACTCTTGTCTATCTACAAAGGTCTAAGTAGCCATTTAGCATCATTAACCTTCATACAATCTATGTGCCTCAGCCATTTTTTTATACCGAAGTATTAAGTAAAGTTGATTTTTGTATTCTTACAATATAGGTTTACAATTCATATCAAAATGTTTTTTGAGGTTAACGGAGGTTTGGATTTTGAGGTAGTATTCATCATGAACCTTCATCAGTTGGATAACTATTGAAAACCTGCTAGCACTGGACAGCTGTTTTGTCCTAATATTGAACTCCTCAGCAGTGCACACCCACTACCCAGCTAGGGATTGATTGAACTCAGGACCTTCAGGTTTCACGATGAACGTGTTAGCCATCCAACCACTGAGTGGGTGTCTAGTGGTCCACAGTTTCCTACTTCTGTCAGTTTTACGAGATATAGCGCAACTGTCCACTAAGGTCTTGAGTCTTCATCCACTTCCCTTCCAACTGCTGGTTGACCCCTCAAGCAACGGTTTCTCATTAAAACTTCGGGATATTCATCTGGAAACATGTCACCAATGAGCAATTTACACAATGTATTTTCAATGATTATCTTACTGATGCCAAACCATAATGAATACTACCTTGAAAGAATTTAAAGCGTATCAATCAAAATAAATTATCAACTGTGGGATCTGTTTGTTGCCGACCCTAACACAGCCTTGTATACCTCAATTCCTATATAGTTTATTCACTTTCCCTAAGCATAACATTTTTTGGCAGAGAGGTGTAATCTATAGCGTTTGTATGGTAGGTGTAACAGCTGGTATTAGAACACGGAATTTCCACTGCAGGGAACCTGAAAGACCGTAATTACAGTGAATCAGTTAAAGCAGATACCCGTGAGAAATCAAATAAACTTAAAACTTGTAGTGTTTATTTACGACGTAATAGAATATACAGATTTTGATAGTTTTAATTATCACAATAGTCTGGCAACATATCAAACTTTTATGTCAAAGCCACGGTAGATAATGTAGAGCAACTTTAAACGGAAAGTTAGACAAAGCTAATAGTTCTCAGCTGCTTCATTTGAGTTCATAACTGCACGTGAAATCCTTTTTACAGGTTTAGAGCACTGTGTAAAGTGAAAACAGCTGAAATGTACATTGAGAAAGAGTCTATACAGTGGCTTTGAGTAGATATGAGCAGAGACAGGTTAAAGAAATAAAGAAGATAGCCGTAATAGGCTATAAGGGATATTTATTTAGAATTATTAGGGAAAATAAACTGAACGATCTCCACTTAATGAGGCTAAGGCAGAGGAAGATAAATCTACCATTCAGTCGCATGGAAGGTGACTGGAATGATGAGCAGAACGCTTCCAAGAACAGCTAAAGTACCTATCACCGCCTTAGTTATCCATTATATGAGTACAAGTTAAGTGGAATACTGAGGTATACAGTTTCTAACTATTGCAGAAGTTGAGAAAATCGTAAATAATCTGAAAGGGTCCTGGCGGACACTGATAACAATGATATTTAAGGATGTTGATCCAGGATTATTGATGAGAATTTCAGCTGGGTTATGGTAATCATATCTAATACCCTCTGGATGTCCCAACCGTCACTTTTATAGGTTATGAGCACAATCGAGAGTAGAAATAGCTACAGTGCAAAATGTAAAGCAACAACTTCACGGAGAAAAGAATAAAATCACCTGATGTTCATCCTAACGAAGAACGGCTACCCAAGAAACTTTACCAGATGTCTGTCTCGTACATGATCAACTACAAAGTTATCTACAGAAATCAACAAACACATCATCCTACCATACATGAAGAATATATCAAAAATCACGACAAGATTACTGAGACCACTTGGAATTAGTGTGGCTCATAAACCAACAAATTCCCTCCAAGCACTGTTATGCAGACCAAAAAATGCAACAACCAAAGAAGACAAACCAAATATCATCTATAAAATCAACTGCAATAACTGTAATCAGCACTGCATTGGATAAAGTGGTCGGCCTCTTCGCCTTCGTCTACATGAACGTCACAACATTTCATCGCTGACTTCAGTGCACGTGACTAACTATGAACATGAATTCAATTTAGATAATGTAGAAATCTTGGACAGAAGAAATACAAAGAATATCAGAGAATTTCTAGAAACTTGGCATTCAGAGCAGTCAACAACCCGTGGATGTATAGACGTAGACTCTCTAAGCCAATAAGAAAAATGATCAGCAACAGAAAGGTGAAAGGTCAAGCAAAAGACCAGTCAACAAGAAAATCTATGCAATCAATAACATAGCAGTCAATGGAAACAAGCAATCACAAACCAAGTTGGTGAGCGCAAGCTACTAAATCACTCTCGGAGAAATATTGACAACTCACTTCATACTGAAGTTTGTGCTGATGATATCGTTTAGAAAGACGAAAGTTTCACGATTAAACAACCCAGGTCAGAGAACACAATACAACCAAGATCATCCACCTGAGCTATAAATATTCTCCGCTATTTCAACGAAAGCTAAAGAAATACTGGAATATGTTAGCAGTTTAAATGAATTTTAACCGATAAAGACGAGTCAGAAATCGAATCACGCGGAAAATGACTGGAATAATACGTGACAGCATTGAGGAACAATTTGATTGGTCTCGCATCACTCCTCAAATTTCCACCGTCCACATTTCATCTGAATATGCTATTTTAGTGGAATTGTTCAATTACTATTGAAGTTGAAAAGGTTGTAGATAGCCTGAAACTGTTACGATACGGAGCTGTGAGAAAGAACGGAAATACTGAACGATTGATAGTCGAGGGTTGAGACAATTCAACCCAAGTGATTGACAAAGAGAAATCAAAAGACTGGAAATCATCACTTAGTTGATAGTAACCTCGGACTGAAAACATTTATTGATGAAAACGGACTTTATTTGTAGAGGTTAAAGTAACCTTGAAAGGCAAGGAATAATTAGTAAATCTAGAGGCAGTAGCCAATCAGAACGCTAGTGCGTTATATGAAATATGACCCATGAACGGGAAATAGAGAGCGAAAAAAGCAGTTCGAATATATAAGGAATATAGGCATCACTTGAAGTATTTAGAAATTACCACACAAAATTGTCAGTGAGACTAATTGAAGAATAAAATCCACTAATGAAGTCGAGTATGATTACTTCTCTCTGATTTCAGTCGGTGTTCATCCCGCTTTTCACAGAAATGACCAAGTCTTCTTGTGACAAACATGATTTATTCAACGCAGTTTTCAAGCTTTTAAGATTAATAATCACCCATATCCAATACGTAGCTTCAGAACAATACGCCTGTAAGAAGCAAGCAGGCTTCATACTTCACTATGTTTGCATCTAACATCTGTATATCTTCTATCATATCTTGTGACTTGGCCGGGCTCAACGACATTGAAACGTGATAGTGTGACATTGTTTTTCACTGCCAAGAGCATCACTGCCCTGGATACTTTTTACTCAGAATTTTTTGTGATATTTTCGGGGGCTACTGTTAGCTATCCAGCGAAGTTACTATATCAATTTGTGTTCATCAGGTATATGCATTCTCTTCACTTCTATCTAACTTTTTTGTAGACGTAGTTATGAAGGTTGTGCTTTTTTCTTCTAACCTAAATACCATTTTGTTTTTCAATCACTAAACGAAAATAGGCTAATGTAAATATACGTGTTCTGATTTCATAGTATGTGTTTTGAGAGATTATAACGTCCTAAAGTCTTTTATTATTTATCTAATAACTACTTGATATAGGTAAACTAAACTTCATTTGAAAGTACAGTAAATATTTCGTGGTCAGTAAATAATGCAATATAACTCACTCTTTCAGTTATTTGCAACTAATTAGTGATGCTTCAAATAGGATCGATGACACTAAATGTTTTATATAAAGTAGAATCGCATTGTAGATATATCTGTGTATACTGTACAGACGTGAATGCGGTTTTCGTCATCTAAGGAATCACTAAAAACCTGGAAATGTTAATCTGTTGTCTCTTCCTTCTTTGTAATTCTCTGATTAGAAATATTTGTAAATTTGTATCCCTTCTTTGAGGTTTGTTACTAGGCTACATACTCGAATACTTGTCCACTGAGTCTACGAGGATCTTGCATCTGAGATGTCCGAATTGTATCGAAATGCACTCAGTAACCATGTGAACTTCTGTACAGCAGGCAATGAGTCACACCTATTGTAGGAAGCGAGAAGACAGAGACGAAGGAAGGAATGTTTATTATTGACATCTTGTACAGTAGTCATCAAATATGGTACACCTTGCACTAAGACAGTCATTTGCATAATGTGCTTCATTTCCTCCCCTACTTCTATCTTGATTTGCTCTTAACACGCCCGCACTGGCTCTTGCGTTTCTCTGGACAGAATCATTACCC